TGAATTTGTCAAGTGTAATCGCAGCAAATACTTTAAACTTTGAAAAAAGGAATATTCAAGAATGTATATTGCTGTAATATTAAGTGTTTACAGTACTCAGAAATATATCAGAGTATTATATGACAGTCACAACTTAAATTTTCATTTTTGTTGGAATTAAAATTAAGAATGCAGAGAAAATTAAGTCAAAACAAAAGGTTTTAGTAAGACGAAGTCAACACAGAAATTAAAGAAAATTAACTACCCATTTCATTTCATTGTCATCAAATTTATTTCGGTCATTCTGATAATGTATAGTTATGAGCAGCAGTCACTACACATTGTACAATCTTAATGCAATGACCGGATATAGAAAGGAGTATGAATAAATCTGCTTTAGTTATCAGTGTTTACTCTAGCAAACCAGATCATAAAACAAACAAAACTTTAGTAAATAATTTTTGATTTTAGAACAGCGTCCTTCAAATTACAGCGGCTATTTAAAATTCAGTGGGAAATATTCTCACAATCCAGCACTACAAGTGTTTACATTACAAGCATACACCTCAAAAATTTGTTGCACACAGTTCACAAAAAAAGCATTTTAGAGAAGTAATCTTAGATCAGAACATTAATTTGAAATTTTTTAACACACAAATAATCTTACATGAGTCGTTAATCAGTTTGTATCAATTTAGGAGAACTATACGGAAATCTAATGCATTCAACATAGTTAACAACAATTGAATTTTCACTACTAATATCAGGTTGGTGAGTGGTTTGGATACTTGACAAGCGCGTCACCAAAAGAGATTCCAACAAGCTGCACATCAACGGCTACTTTCGTTCCAGATGGCCAGAAAGAACTGGCAACAAGGAACTTTTTTGGCTTACTAACCAGAAACTCGCCATTCATCAAATATACAGAAACAAATGGGGATGGATTGGGCTTGCACTACGGAGACCACTGAGGTCCTTGAGCCTAACCTGAATCGGTCTGCTTAACAGTAAACGCCTGTGAGTGACACGGAAGAGGTTAACAGCTTATGGATAACAATTGAGACAGATAAAAGAGACTGTTGAGAACAAAGTGAAACAGCGATGTGCTCCTGAATCAATATGTTCCATTTGACATCCATGGGACCAGTGATAACATGTTAGAGAGGAGAAAGGAAACTAAAAGTTTTAACAACTCCATGCAAATTTTATATGTACCAAACAACCAACAACCAGTGTTATATAAATAATTCATGGAAAATTCCCACTCGCTGGATCACTTGTTTTGATTTTTTATACAAGTAAGTAAAATTTTGTCCATAATGGAATTACACTCTACCACAATGCCCAAGTTTTATCCTTATATCAAGCAGCAATCAGCATGTAACAAAAAAAATGAAGACAGTAACATTTATGTGTCTGATGACAGTGAGTTTATATTAAGGATAGTGAAAACAAGACAGAATGAATACTATATTATGATCAAATCTTCAGCCTAAACTTATTGTAAGTGCCGATGTTTATCACCTCCTTTTCTGAATCCTGTCATGATATCTAATCCATACGATGGCTGTGCGACAGAGTTTACCTCCATTAAGTTCTCTAAGTGCTGAGTACCAATTTAGCCTATAGTTTTTCGAAACACTGCACTCCGAAAGAAACAATTAAGTAGGAGAATATCTGTAGTGTTGATACTTTCAAATTTTTAAATTCGATTCCGAATCACACCAGAAAGAAGTGAAGAAAGATATTCTTGAGAGAATAAAGCACATTCCTGAATTATAGGTCTCGGCAACAAATCACTGCCGATGAATTAGGATTTTATGACAGGAATAATTATTTCATTTAGCATCCTACCGTAGAAAATTGGGCGAATTCTGTTGTGCCAAAGAATGTTAGATATTTGTCACCATATACTAAAAAGAGATACCAGCTAAGACCGATTATCTTCTTTAAAATTTTTTCAAAGCGTGTACACGAACGGGTACCTACCGAAGACAGTGCCAGATGATCATAATGTGCAACCCATTGGTGGGAGCTGCAGCACATATACTTGCAAATACTAATACAGTATTACAGTCACAATGAACAGATACTGTGTCCCCTTCAATGGAGGTATAGTTTTACGTGTAGATTCTTGCTTTCGACTGTATTCAGCAAGCTCACTCTTATTATTTAATACAACTTTTAAAATACTGTACACTCTGTGCAAATAAATCGTTAATAAAACAATTTGCATGTGTGGTCATCGTCCCCGACGGTGGTCTATTAAGTTTACGGTGATCACATGGTGGTCAGTGTCTATCGACCACACATGGATGTACACTGGTATAATACTCACCGGTCACGATATGCTCCAGATTGGGTTCCCTGCCGACGTATTGCTGAGCCTCACTTAGCTGTTGATAAGCGTGGTAAAGTCGGGAGGTTGGGTGTGAAGCTAGAAGCCCCTGCGTTAAACAAAGCTTATCCATCGATGAAATCTCAGAGCTCACACTTGAAGCTCTACATTCCATACAGAAAGCAAAAGGATGAAAAGCCGACCAGTGAGTTGATTAATCTGGTCTACATTAAATAAAATTATTCGATAAAAGCACACAGTGATACAGTATTATCTACTAATGACGTCTCAAGAACAATTAATTGTTCACAATCATATTAAGGAATTCAAAAAGCTCTCACTTTTCTATCATTTCTTATCTTTCTGTAATGAGAATTTACTCTGCAACTATGCCTGAGTTCTATTACCATAATTCACTGGTCCGCATCTGACTTCCTACTATTGACGATTGTCGGAAAATGAAGATTTAAGGTCCTGTGGATCTTGCTTACTGACAACGACTATCAGATCTTATACACGTTCTGATGACGCTCTTCATAAATCAGAAGTAAAATTCATAGGCTGTGAATACTATGTTTCGATTCATTGATTTTAGTACATTGCTGGACACACATTTCAAAACGTTTTTGTAGCCTACGAAGTATTTGATAAAACAAAAGATTTTAATAAACGAACCAAATGCATCTCCCTCAAGAATAATTTATTTCATTTACTTTAATTAAACTAACTAAAATGGAAGCTGAGTTCAGTGTTTTTCTAAAAAGGCTTCCAACAATCCGATGCACACATGATTCTTTTGTCACTGTATGATGAAACACCGAAAAACACCGACATTCAAAAATATTCATATGCTGGTTAGATGCGAAAGAATATAATTGAAACATATAATTTAAATTTGGTCTTTTTGTCATTCACTGATGGAAGTTTCTGATAAAGATTTGTGAAGACACCTGAAATACTTCGCAACATTTTTCTACTTGTAGCATAATGCTATGCCCCCTAATGTTAGGCGAGAAGTAGAGATCTAGTAAGTGGCTACATGCACAATATTTTCATACACAACTTGAAAGAGATTTTTAATATAAAATTTATAAAATCGTTCAAGAGGTGATAAGAAGGGACAATACTCGATTCGTTTTTCTCAAATCTATATTGATTTCAAAAAATAGATAAGACAGGTATGATGATACTCAGTAGGCCATATACAGTTTAGATGACGATTTTGAAGTTTCTTAAAGATTACGAAGTTATTTGAATGGTTTTTCACCTAGCACTCAAATGAAGAACAGCAGGTGTTTAACTATTATGTGGAGAACTTCCTAACTTTAGTAGGCTCAGAACCTCCGGATGCCTATTTTGCCTCTAAAACAGAACAAATACAAATTATAGGCAAGTGATATAGGAATTAATTGAGACGTTACACTGTGGTAATTGGTTTCTGACATTTTTATACATAAAAGGCAGTTCTCGAAATGTCAAACACCGATATATTTGTTTGTTCGCTTAAGGTTGATAATGGCAGTTCATACAGGACGTCTAGTTGCATAACCGAAACGACATATAATCACATGGTAATAAGAACTACAATGTAGTCTACGTGCAAATATGCAAACTATGATATGACAGTAAAAATCTAGGTTAATAATTCTAAAAACCAGGGAAGCGAAGCTGATACACAGAATTCTAAAATTTGTAAACCAATGTAATATTCTTATTAGTATGAATGTTTAGCTGACGTCTAAACCCTCTGGTAAACGCAGCCATCTATCAGAGGTTTATAAAACGCTTGGATATATATGTATATATATGCCTATTTTGTCTGTTGTTGCAGAAGGCATAAAACGACATTTCTTCGTTAATGAATGTAAAACCACCAGTATCTTCAACTACAGTAATAAATCAGCCAGCTTACAGAAAAACAGTAAGTAAAAATGCATGAACATATTTAAGAGGTTTAAAAGTGTTTATTGACGATCTTATTCAGCTGTTTTGTATACAAAGAAAAAGGTGCTTATTTTCATATCGTTCTGTAAGAACTTTCATGCTGGAGAAAACAGTGTTTGAAAAATCTTACGTTTTAAGGTCTTTTCGTTTTGAGTAGTCACACAGGGGTGTCAGTTTCAACACGAAATAATTATACTCTATTAAGGGTTTCACTTTCATCAATTTAGATTACTTCGTCTACATGATATTGTCCTACTACTAATAATGACATCAACTGGCATTCAAAATCGGATTTACCTACATTGGTTCATTTGGGACTTGATCAGTGCTCTAGTAAGTGTCTAAACTGTACTACCGTGTGGCATTATTACTTCTTCTTGGTAGATGATAAGTCTTGCTGCTGAAGTCAAGCAAGTTCAAGGTTTGAGTCTAAAGCATCTTGTTTCATTGGTTCCAACTACCACTAAATAAATTATTTTTACCCACTTGAAATTTATTTTAATAAGCGTATACTACTTCGTTAACTGACTCATTACGATTCATTATTCAATAGATTTAAAGTGTGTTTTTTCCTTTGTACTAGAACAGTTTTGTGTTAGTATAAGCCTTATGGAAATCATGTAAGATCTGGAAATTCTTCTAAGACAAATGCGCTTGTCTCTCCTGGTTACGCAATGGTTAGCCTTTTCTGCTTATCATCATTACCATGGATAAAAATGCTTGGTATTGAAGCATACACTTATAAGACACTTTATTATTTGGTTTATTTCTGAACAGAAAAGAATTCACTTGAACTAAATAATAAGTGGGTGAAAACATTGTGTAATAGAAAAAGATTTAATCCATCATATGTATATTTGTTATGCAATTTCTTCACATAATTTCATAACTAGGAGAAACAATCACGTTTTTAAATTCGAAACTATATATATATATATATATATATATATATAGAGACAGAGAGAGAGAGAGAGCAAAACATGAACAAACACTGCAGGGTAATAAATGTTTTTTTGTTCCATATTTAACGGCTGTGGTGATGTTCATCATCTCTGTAAAACTTGTATATATACTGATCCGGTTCCAGTCGAAAACAAAACGTTGATTTTGGTTTTACATAAGAATTTGCGCGACCCACCTTAATCGGATTAACCACTCGTTCAAATTTCCATCCACTGCCATTTCTTGATTCCAGTTCACTTACTAGTGGCGAAATACTGGCGAACGGATCGTCCCGATCCCAACGTCTTGCGATAAACAGTATTACCCTCTTTTCTAATTCACTGTCCATGTCAGAGAAAAAGATTGTAATACATGGATATTCCAATGGTAGGTGTCTTTCAATTTGCTTGATACAGTCAATTTCTTTCTGTGCCCTAGAGACATAAAAAGTAAAAAAAACAGTTATTGAACAGCAGTATTCACACAGTACAAGAAATTTGCAACCTTCGAAAGCCTGATTTTCTACAGAATACAGTGAATCTTCTCTTAATTTGTGCATATATTAGTGATAAAAAAAATCATTGTAAGTATACCGTGATTTTCCGTACTTTTCTACAGACAGACAAATAAATATAACAACGTTATTCGGCAGTTTTTCAAAAACAATGAAACCTGTTGTACATGAGTGATCAGGTATTTAGGAAAAGTTTGAAGTATTCCTTCCCTTAAAAAATAGAATATTTTGTTAAATAAGAGGAGGCTTTCGGATTACCTAACAACAGTCAAATTTAATTACAGTCTAAATCTAATTAATTACACTCTGAATCTAATGACACTGAATATTTCCTTTTCTCGATGATTAATCAATATAGGCTTGAAAGGGAAATTTACTATGCTTTCATGGTTTTCATCTCGCCAATGCCATTTTAAACTGCTTTTAGAGGTGAGTCATCATGGCTTTTGACCAGCAATACACTAATTAAACAAATGATTTCTCCTGATGAAAGAAGGCACAAATATGTGCATCGATATTTTGTTAAAAAGAAACTTTAATCACACTGTCATTTAATGGATTCAGTGTGTATACATAAGTGTTTTGCCTGTTTTAGCATAATATTCTGTATAAGTTCGATGTTATTCTTCCTATGAATTAATGTGTTGATTTAAAAGTCGGAATATATTGCCAAGCCATGTTTCCAATTACCTCTGATTAGTACCACGAAAAGGATTTGCAATATAACAACTACCTCCTTCACTGGTTGGCTTCATAATGAAGATCAAATGACCAGTCAACCGGACGGCCAGAAAGAATTAGCGACAAAAACTGGCTGGAAACAAATGAACCAAGAGCCGGTCGCTCAACAAAAATATGTTGGGGAAAATGGAGATGGATAGGACACATGTTGAGGAGACCGTCGAATGACATCTCGCGGGGTTGTCGGTGCGAGAGTGACAGGGAGGAGGTCATGTGGTGAGGTGGCGATGGGAGAATATGGGCAATTGTGGACCCAGGTGAGAATGACAGCAGAAAATAGAAGTGAGTGGAGATGAGTTTTTGAAGCCCTATATTCCGTTAGGAACCCATGAAAATAATAGTGGTGTTGGTAGTTTCCTAATCAGGTATTTAAAAAATGAATGTTAAACTAGACGTCGCTTTATTTCCTGCTAACTGACGTGTGATTTTACTTATGTTTAGTTTATTTCGTGAAGGTGAATTTTTAATAATAATAATAATGAAGCTTTATTTCAGACAATAGGCGAACGTATGGTACAAACCTTTTCAGCGTATTTAGTTCTAAAATACTTTTTTCTTCATACGGGATTTACATTTAAAATCATAATCTGTAGTATATATTCATTCTGTTGAAGACCTCAGGAGCATATACTTGGAACCAAGTTAAATCAGCGTGCAGGTTCATGTATAGGTGATTTGATATAACTGAACTATTAAAACAATGATTAATCCAGATGGATATAAGGATTTTGGTGGAAAGCAATTTCGGTAGCTCAGTGATTCAAACGGGCCGCCTTTAATCATTTACCTAATTATTCTAAAAACTGTATCAAATTTTTCTCGATTGGCTGATGACAGATGAGTTTTGATTTCACCCGTTCTTAATAGACGGAATTTTCAGATGGTTGTCATTTTGTCTCGTTTATGAAATGCTCAGTAAGATAACCAAATAAAGGAATTCCAGTTACTGCATTGGGTTCCCTCTTGATCGGTCATATCTCTTTTCAGTCATATGAACAAAATTAAATATGGAGATATAGCTTGTTGGCTAGAGCACATGACTTTCAACTAGTTGATGCCGGGTTAACATCTTACTGTACCTATTACAGCCTGAGCAACTGCGTAGTAGTCTTCACAAGAAGAGTGTGACTCACAGTCAGGTACCATGTAACAGCGAGTTGTAAATATCTCCTTTTGACTTAAATAGACAAAATTGTGTGAAGAAATGCAAAAGGGCAAACACAACACTGAAATACAAGTTTCTACTGTTAGTATGTGGTATTCTGCTGAGTTGTTCAAACACCTGGACTTCTAACTGTTCATAAATTCGGAAGACATAATCTCAGTGCATTTCGCGATCTTAGCGGTATGCAAATCATCCAAGAGAAATGTGAATGATTAAATGTGTTGTTCTAAATTGCACTGTGGGAATATTTGATATTCTGAAATGTGAATGCGACACAAATACAGATGTTATGTGATTCAGTAGTAGGGATACGCGCTGATGAAGAGTTCCAAACTAGGGCAAAATAGCTGCTTACAAGGTGCTCTAGCTTAGTTTAATTCATCACAAAATCTACAGTGAGATCAGTTGCATACTCATGGGTGTAAAATGTGAACAAATATTATACAGATACAATATACAAATGAATTAATCATTAACAACATATTTTGCTGTTGTTATTTCATGCCAAACGACTGGTTGTTGTTGAGAATTAAACAACATTATGTGCAGAATTCATCATTATATTGAAACTTTCTATTGAAATCACCTGATAACATAAGGGAAATCAAAACACTAATACGTATTTTGTTGCAGTAATAAGCAGAACATATAACATATTATAAGAAATTACTTACATTGAGCTACTGTTGTTGACGGCTGAATATTTTGAGTAGGATCTTTGTGTATATCCATTTGGTAGGTTAGGACGACCGCCCATTAAATTGTTTGAATTCTAAAATATATAAAAGTTTTGCAGATGAAGTAGAGTTGGTTTCATCAGTAAACACCTTATAATTCTCAGTATCTACATTTGTCAATATTTGCATTGTATAAACAGTGTATGAGATACAAGCAGGTACATGGTGGGATAATTCGTCGACGAATTTATATTTAAAGTATTGTTTAAAACAACTAGTCCCTTTGATTAATTTAATAAGGCATTTAGAAGACAAATTTCGCGAGATGATATCATTTCGTAGTTTCTTTAAAACCGCTTTACAACTAATATGGTTCACAGTAATAAAATAAAGATCATGACAATTACTCAGTTAAATAAAAAACACAAAAGTCCATACTAATGAACAATCATATTTCAAATAGGTCATGTAATCCATGGTAGGCGAAGTTTGAAGCCTACTGTTCTTTGTACAAGTAGTTTATGATGTTTGTGACTTATCCAAAGTAAAGCACCTTCAATAGCCTTGAATAAGAGTTATGTGAAAAAATTGTGAAACAGTCATTAATATTGATTTTATGACCTAACATTAATAAGTGCCTTGTAGTGGATGATGATGGACTTCTATTTAGATTGCATCGGGCTTTTCTGTGTGGCTTAATAACCATTTTGGAGCATGTTCTTTTTGACGACATCGGAACATCTTATTGGTTGTACCTACATAGGTATCACTGCAACTGGAGTTGAACTTGCAGATACAGTTTGAAGTAGAGTCCACAAACTTTCGTCATTTAATCGTAGGTACAAGGATCGAATATGTTCGGCATGTGAGGGAAAGAGATGCAGCGAAGAATGTGCGTTTGATGGCTGACCAAAGTTTTTGAGCTATCAGCTGCATAATTTTATCACCCTGGAAAGGTAGGTTAATAAAGATAGCTATCTGTGGTGCAGAAGCTGTCTTTTCTAGATGTAGTCTATCCTTACTGTGACAATTGGTAAAGTTTTCTGGATAACTATTAGCTAATAAAACTGAATGTATATGTCGAAGCTCATCCATCAGTGTGTTGCTCGTATATATTTTGTGGGCCCTTGAAAACAAACATTTTACTAGGGAACATTTATACTGGGACTAAACAGGTGTCCCAAGTGGTCTAGTGGATAACGCTGTGGTGTTTGAAAGTATGGGCACTGCGTTCCAGTCTTGGTGGGAACATAATCACTCACTGCGGAATGCAGGTACATCCAGCTGGCAAGCCGGAAATAGGACGAAATGCGCATCCTTGATTCCACTGCTAGTCGCCGTCCACCAATTAACTTCTAAATCAAAAACTAGTGAAAATGTTGACTACTTATTGACAACTGAACATAAACATTCACTTGGAGAGTGTACAATTCATCCGAACTGTATTTGTGCAGTGTTGGGGTTTGGCTCATGGTATTTAGGTAGGAAATATTCAGCAAATTAACTAGTATATGTTGATTTTATTCTCAAACAATTTAGTGCACCTAATAGAAATAATGACAACAGTAATGAAAATTTCATACAGATTATTATTTTATTTTATTGTGATCATTCAGTCAAACAGAATGATACAAACAGATTAATAACCAGCTATATAACTTCGTCGATATATCTTGGAAATTATTCCCATTTCCGCAGCTCCACACATGAATTCCAATGGCACGAGCTCTGAATCATCATTCTATCAGTGATCAAGTTGTAAAAAATGACGGTACATTAATTACAAAATTATATATGTATATAATAGTTTGTAGGAAACAGTTTCAGTGTAATAACAAATATTTTATTCATCTGTGCATATCCAAACATAAGAGTTGTAACAAAGTCTTAATGAAGATTTGAATGACGTATGCAAAGTGAATTGATTTGTGTTAAAGACTTGAGGACTATTGTAGTGTGGATTTCCATAATAGTGAGTTTATTAGGAAGGATACACAGTGAAACAACATTATTTGTTGGATGAAGTTTCGATAACAATTTATTGTTCATAATTATGTCAAATATAAGCCAGATAGGTTAAGTTTTAGGTACGTGAATTTGTCTCATCCTACTATATTCTTATATGTGACTGCTTGTAGTGCTTTTTCCTAAGTTAGATCATGAAGTGAAGACAGTTATTGAAAGCCAAGGGTACGGATTTTTCATCGTAGTCATGAACTCTTGAGTAGTGACCCTACGTTGAATCGAACTAAGGTCCTCAAGGTTACTAGGTGAGTGAGACAAACATTGATCCGCTAGCGTGGAATCCAGTAGTTTATAGATTTTCTCTTCTGGCAGTTTTGAGCAAAGTAGCATCCACTTAATAAAAATTCGTAAAGTGTTTGTGCTCAACTAATCTAACTGACCTTGATCTAGAACTCTGATTTATTGATTTATCCACGCACAGACAGATTAAATTATTTTTTAAATGGTCTACATAGGACATAATTCGTTTGTAAGTGTGTGGGTTTAACTGGAGCTTTATACCCTGTCCTGTTAAAAAATTCTGTGGAAAGTTTCAGACGTCCAAGTATGGCAACTTTACAGATTGTTTAAATTCTATTTTTATTATTCTGTTACCCCCACACAATAAGTGTGTCATACTTATTTGTTACTGTTCTTATATTTCCTTGTATTCTGTGGGATAAATTTATCAAGGTATCAAGTCTTCGATTATATATCCTAACTCCTGCATTAGAAGTGACATGGGACTGGATGACTTGAGGTACAAATACCTGTCTGAATCAATGTGGTTTTTGTAAGCACCACTACCATCTTCTCAAGTTGTTATATTTTAATTCTTGTTAGCTAGTATATTTATTAAATCATGGAAAATTCCCATTGTAACATATAGAAAATCAAAACAAGTGATTCAGCGAAGAGACTCTTTTCAACGAATTTATCATCAAGCTGTACAGTCGTATATATATTGTTTTTAAGAAGTTATATCCGGTGAGGGAATTGAATCTTAGGTGTGAATGCATAAAATAATAATAACAGTAGTATGAAATGCAATTAAAAAAACGAAAGTGTTTGTGATTGTACTGATAGTTAAATGTCAAGTGGCAAAGCAAATTAATGTCATATATAGAATAATTCATAGGATGTAGAGAACTTGAAAAAGGGTGTGCAATTATAGGATGAGTAGACAAATAGAATAAAACAAAATACGTTACGTAATATTGTGTGAAATTTATTAACATAGAATTTAACTTTGTAAAAAAGATTTGATTTGGAATGACAAGTGGAACAGGTGAAATAATATCGGGGACAGTTCAAAGTGAGAATAGTAATAGTAAAAATTGACTTAATAAGGAAGAGTATACAAATTGAATAGACAAAATGAAAAAATGAAAATTGGTAGAGCTAAAATATGATTGGGGATTACCATACTTTAGCATACAAGGATTAAGACCATGAAAGTTGGAGGGGTTGAACGAAATTTTTCTGTACACAGAGATCTGGCTTTTCTGTTTCGATAGCCAAAGCTTCAGCAATACAGATGAGTCGGGTACGTAGGGATATGGGTAAATTACTCTTTGCCTTGTAGATGACTTTCAAGGAGGAGGCCATAGAGATAGGGTAACCATTATCGATCAGATGTTCAATGATCGCGCTCCTTATCGCTCCACTTCCACCTTTTCGTAGCCATGCAGGATAGTGTTCTTGCACCCTCTTGGACAAAACTTGAGTCGAAGGACCGATATACCTAGCTTCACATGAGCAGGTGAACATCTGGTCGATAATGGTCACCCTATCTCTATGGCCTCCTCCTTGAAAGTCATCTACAAGGCAAAGAGTAATTTACCCATATCCCTACGTACCCGACTCATCTGTATTGCTGAAGCTTTGGCTATCGAAACAGAAAAGCCAGATCTCTGTGTACAGAAAAATTTCGTTCAACCCCTCCAACTTTCATGGTCTTAATCCTTGTATGCTAAAGTATGGTAATCCCCAATCATATTTTAGCTCTACCAATTTTCATTTTTTCATTTTGTCTATTCAATTTGTATACTCTTCCTTATTAAGTCAATTTTTACTATTACTATTCTCACTTTGAACTGTCCCCGATATTATTTCACCTGTTTGTCAGAAATCCGAGTTTTTCTAACAGCTTTTAGAGGGGTTTATTTGTATAAGAGTTTACGAGCTGATGACATCGAAATAATTCACTGATTTCATCTAAGTCTAAGATGTTCGGTGTTTCAGTGGGTCATAATTAATTAATTTATATTTATAGCGATTTCAAGTGGGATCTATTATCATGGCCAAGTAACTGCTTAGCTAATAAGTCAAAGTATTTATAAAAATGATTATATCTGATAAAACATCCGATTTAAGATCTTGGACAATGTCGTTTGCTGTACTAAGATTACTAGATTTCGTTTTTTTTGTTGAGAGAGATTACATTGAATCATTTAGGTTGGCATAGAAACAGTTTCATTCAGAGTATATGATCGGCTATCGATATCTTAACTTTACTCATTATGTTATCCACTTTTTTAGGACTGTTCTATTCATTCATAATTCGACAAATAGTCACATATAAGTATGCTATAGGATGAGACAAATTAACAAGACTAAAATCTAACTTGCCTAGTCTATCTTTGAAATAGTTATGAACAGTCAATTGTTTTCGAAACGTTATCTAGTAAATAATACTGTTTTTTTGTGTGACCCATCTAATGCACAATCTAATTTGAAATAAACGCATTGAAGTGGATACATACAACGACCAGCGACTGAAAGACATTTGTAATTGAAAACTTTCTATGGGAAATGAAGCTGTTTGAAAGTAGTTTTTTTTTCTCTTATCGTATATTCTGTTTGTAAAGATATGTCCATTCAACGAGTTACACAGAATAACGTATCATGGTATTAGTTGACATTTTCTCTTAAGGAATTACCAGGCTGAGTGACTAGTAAAACTGGAGTTTCTGAATTCGGAATCATATGCTACTTCAAAGTAGGGTGCTTAAGCCAGGAAAATAGATTGATTGAACTTTTAACCTGTGAATATGCATCTTAACTTATGTTAGGTTTTCTCACCATACCGAGATGACGTTCGACCTCACAGACACAAGCATGGTTAAATCTTCAAATGACAACAATGGACAATGATTTATACACTATTTGTGTTCAAAAAGAGCAAGTAAATAATTAAAAATTAACAAATAACAGACTTGGTTGATAAGTGAAGAAATATTACGAAATTTTCAAAACAATTTTATTTCGACAGACCTACCTCCACAAATCTTCTAACCAAAACATGTCTATGATAGCAGTGTTCAAAGTCTTTAACTTCCACTGGTCTATGGAGTGTTGGATTTCTTGGCATTATTGAGTAATTAGGTTTTACAGAAGAATAGTATAGTAAGTCTTTGCTTTAACAAATGATGCTGTCTGTTGTTGTTAGTTGCATTTAAAAGTCTCTTCACATGTAGCAAAATCAATTAATTTTAAGGTATCATATGATTTCGTAGACATTAAAAGAAACTTTGTAGTAGGGAACGTGTACGCACACATGCATACTTCTTTCATCAATACTTACATACAAACGACTGTTGTAATAGCGTTAATTCTAACAATCTGTGCATGTTCATCGTTTAATTAGTGTGTGTAATTGTTTAATACCTACTCACGAATAGATGAATATATTAAATCTTACGCAAGCGTACAGATTAATTTTGGCAATAAGGTAATGATAATTGAAATTGGCATTTAATCCCTAAATTTAGTTTAACAGAGTGCAGTAAACTAATGATAGTTTTCTAAATCAGTTTTGATGTAAAAAGTAACGGTTTGTGTAATTTAGATGGCGTAGAGAAACCATCCTGTGATATAAATAGTCTTCATTACGCAGATACCATAAAAACACAATAATATACACCATGCAACGACTTACATAAGTGTGCAGTGTCTGGGAGCAGTTTAATCAACGATCCTTTACATTATGACGACTATTTCCTCAATTTGAAATACTGGAGAAAATCTTATTTTGGGCATTTTAGATACCATTATCACAGAAAGACACAGCAAGTGTGAAACAACTATGCGAAATTTGTTCATTATAATGAATGCAACACACTAATACGCCTAAATAATTCTCTAAAATCTTCGTTTCTGTATGATATTGTTTATTATAGCAAACAAGCATGTCTAATCTGAGATTTCAGTGCATTGAGTTATTTGTGTTCTGATGCTACAGTGTTTCTTAGCTTCGAATTATAGTGGATAGTGAAGCTAAAGACTTCAAGTAAATGAAGACAAAGAAGATCAGCTTGGAAAGTAAAGCTGGTGATCATTAAAATAAGATGTCTTATGACTGCAAGCACTCAAAAATGTTATTGATTCAGTCAATATATTCTTGTCAAAATTGAACAGAAAGTTACTGTGACGACTGTTACACGAAAATTAAGGTTGGATAGGATTTATCGTGCTCAGTAGGTAACGCTGTAACAGCAGAAGGCAAGACACGGAAGCGAAGGGTATATTTTCAAGTGATAAAACAGCTTTACAGTTTATATAGTCTATATTCTTTAACCAATCGCTGAGGTTGTTATTTTGGCTTTCATTAAATGACATGAAATAGAATTTGCAAATACATATATTATTCTGTTGCTAATTCAGTAGCGAACAGTGTGAATAGTATTCAGGCTTTAACACCACCAAATACAATGGTTCTTACTAAGAGGATAATATTCCATTGGAACCAATTGTCTGTATCACACCACCATAACTGTCCACTACTAAAACACAATAAATATGCTTCAGCTGTCATGTGTTATGAATTTTATTCTATTATTACTTTATCATGTTGTATCAGACACACTCACCTTCAAAGAAATAATAATTGTAGTACTACAGTACTAGGAAGAAACTAAAAACACATTCATTTGTCATCTTATTGACAGCAGTTCTGAAGAATACTTCCAGTCCATCTATTAACTTCGGCAAATTACATGTAATGGACAAAAGCGAGAGTTTTGAAGGGTTACAAACTTGAGAACATTTATTTCTCTGCAAGAGTTTAAAACAAGTAACAAATATTAATAGAGCTGGATTTAATCAGTTCATCCACTTCCGGCAGAGTGCTTCAGCTGAATATTCTACATACAACAATATACGCAAATGTATGCTATCAGAAATACAATAGGAGAAATGTGACCAATAAGTCATTAGGTTAAATCAGTGGTAGAAGACTACAGCTGTGAATGTTTTACAGGTCAATTTCAGACAGATAAGTGGGAAGGGGTATGAAAGATTAAAATTGAGATAATAATGGATTATGGCTCAGTTACAAACTTCAATGAACAATTTTTCATTGAAAAAAGAACTTGAAAATATCAGGAATCGCAAAACTAATTAATAATGAAACGAGTTAAGATAATGGCACTAACAAAAAATAGTCTTGGATAAGTCAAGAATAATGATAACAGATATTTAAAAAAAAAGCCATTACCATGGTAGATTCCGGGTGACCATTTCCTTCAGTACACAGAGACCGGGCTTATAAACTATAATTTCACAAGCTTAAGAAAACATAAACATCTTTCTCCTTATTTTTCTGTTAACAATCGTGACTAACTTGACAGCATCAGTATAATAATAATATTACTAACAGCTTTATTCCAAACAGTATTTGTGGTACAGGTATGGAATTTTCAGCCTGCATTACAATATATCAATATCATGTTCATCGTCTGTAAGAAGGTTTGTTATTGACCGTTTTGAGGAGTTCTACAGAAATATGTAAAATTCATTGAATCTTGCTTTATTGACATTTGTTGCTTTTTACATGTTCATAAAACTACCAAAATAATCATTTTCTGAACGGAAATTAACCTCCAGCACTGATGCTAACGGATCAATAACAAGCAAACTGAGTAAGTGAAAACGTTTAAGGTGATTTCCTCCATAAATTCTCCTTCATTGACAGCACACAGTTTAATAATATGTTGACAACTCTAATGTATAGTAAAGGGAAACCATTCAGATGTAAACTGATTTGTAAATACTAAATGTCGTTACATCACTGTCCAATATTCTCTGGGTAGCAGCTGTAATAAATCTTGGCTACAAGTTGTAAGGGGGGAATATAGTTTTCAAACCCATCTGACATGCCAATAACATTGATTTAAGTGAAACTGAGGGTAAAATGTATACTCTACTCTTGCATTTCTATGGCGAAATTCCTAAGTGTTAACACAACGTTAGACGTTTGATAACGATATATCGATGAACACGAATATCATAAGCTTTAAGGTTAGAGGTTTCATCAATATCATATAAATGCTTTGATTCAAAGGGGAGTGAACGTTAATGTCATTCTATCCCGTCAACCTAAACTTCGACGAAGCTTATTACAAAGAACTAACTCACTCTTTGAGGTGTTCAATAAAAAAGATGAATTTCAGGTCTATATATACAGTATTCTACAAAAAAACTAATGCCAAGAAAATAATCCATGGTTAATAGAAATTCTAAAATCATCTAAGTTTCTTTCGCCACTTCCACAGAAGCTTGAAGCATGTTTCTTCCCCTTCTCAAAATTAACTCAGAATTCTTTTCAAATTCAAGGTCTAGGATTTGATACAAAATTCTGCAGTGCTCCCAGGAAAATCAGTGAACTGTGGGACAAAGCCCAGCTGACAATATAAGCCTCCAGACACTCGATAAATCAATAGTTCAAAGCTTCACTTCCACTCATCTAGGAAGCTGACGGAATGGATTATGATGTCGAAACCAGTTAGAGGTGGAAAGAAAACATACACCTTCATCAACTTAAAACCAGTTTGGAAATCTTCTGCAATCTGTAGCATAAAGAACAATATTCGGATTTTCAACACAAATGTGAAGTCAGTCAGTTCTTCTGCATGGGTCAGTTACTTGCACTGCGTGTCAAAAAAAATTATTTGCAATAGTCGACTGCAGACTTTATCGACAGCTGCCTCCTTCACTGGTTGGCTCCATACTGAAGATCAAATGGCCAGTCAGCCCAACAGAATGAATTAGCAACAAGAAACTGGTTGGAAACAAATCAACCAAGAGCCGGTCGCTCAACAAAGTATGTAGTAGAAAATGGAGGTGGATAAGACACATGTTGAGGAGACCGTCGAATGACATCTCGCGCAATGCAGGCCATCGCTTGAGTGGAGTGGCAATAGGAAGGAACGTGTGGGGGGGGTTCGTCGGTGAGACGGTGACAGGGAGGAGATCGTGTGGCGAGATGGATATGGGAGAATATGGCGAATCGTGGACCCAGGTGGGGATGGCAGCAGAAAATAGAAGTGAGTGGAGATGTGTTTTTGAAGCCCTATTTTCCATTCGGAACCGAAGAGAATAGTAAATTTAAAATAAATAAATAATCACTCCTATATAATTTCTGCAAATGCATGTATTCACAACCCAGACACCGCTACTGCCCAATAAACGAAATCTGTATACAAGTCAGATACGTTCTGGAGGGTGAAGAAATAATCCTTGCTCTTTTAGGTAAAGCGAAAGGGGATCGCAGTAATCGACAGACTATTCTGCACTGAAAAGTGTGCAAACTCGACCGTCAGACAAAAACAAAATGTACAAATCCTACTGTAAAACAGGACAACAGAAGGACAAAAATTCTTATAAAATAAATGAGACTGAAAGACTAAGCACTCATAAACCCAGAAGTTTATTAGCTGATAAGCCCATGCAGCTCAACTGTCTAAATTTTTTTATTGAATACGTGTAAGAAATTGGAATTATGTTTCGCTTCACCCTCTTATATACATAACTAACTCATTACATAATCAACTTGAGAAACAACCTGCAGTAATCCTTGAAACAATATCGATAGTAGGAACAAGATACATTTGAATTCATCAGATCACTTAAAGACCTAAATGTGTTTAAAAGACATTTGTTCTCTCTAGACATAACTCCTCTCTTCAAAAGCATTTTCTACACCAAAGTCATATGCTTCATATGCAACAAAATCAAATCCAACAACCTGTAGGTTCATTTTTCCCAAAAGCTACCAGAAATTAATAGTCCACAGATATACCTCAAACTTTCGATTCAAATTTAGGGAAAAATTATACGTGCAGAGAAATGGTGTGGTCTTGTGATAATTTTTTGTGTGAATCTCTGTGTCATGATCAGCGTTGAAAGTGATTTACTTTACCCTTTGATCAGTTGACTTAACCTTTACAAAAACCGTAGATCATAGATTTATCATTTGAGATGAAGTTTTCTACTTAAGAATCTCCTCAGCAGTTAAAATACAGTTTATACTTCCACCAGTTTTAAACTGAAGTAGGAATCACAATCGCCTCTTTTATTCCTATGAAAATATTAACAACTATATTCAGACAACATTATGTCAAAAATCAACGTGGACTGGATAGTTAATCTGCTTCCAGAGTTACATTACACTAATAATTATTATTATTATTGTATCCTTTAGTTCCTAGAGGAACATAGGGCTTCAGCTGCGCACCTCCATTGACTTCGGTTTTCTGACAACTTTTTCAACCTGTTCCAGGTCTGTCCAC